GGTCCATTAGGGCCGCTTTCGCACAAAAATACGAAGTACGGCCTAGAAGAGGCCTGAATTTAGCCAGTTTCTTGGGCTTGCAAGAAAATGAGTTATTTAGAAAAATATAGAAACAGCTAATCAGAGCTGTCCCAACTGGAAAATGGTGTGAAGTCAGAACATAATCGAGTAATAAAATTTAAGTTACCCAAAGGTGCCATTCTGATGGACTCACATTTTGCCATCTCTTCTCCTCCGGACTGTTGCGTTGTTCTCGACTCCTCCTCAATTCACTCTCCAACACGCCGATATGTCGAATGGCTTCTTCCAACTATTTTTAAAAGACAAAACGCCTTTTAATAGCAGTGAATAGAAAGCAACATCAATGGTAGATGAATGAGCTTCCAATCTCACCCTTGAGGTGTTTGCGTTTTCAGCATACTGCAGACGATCGTGAAGATCATACAATTCGTTTTGGAGTTTGTACAGCAATTGAACATCCAACGGTGTGTTGTCCGGCAAAGTCTCCATTGACTTTCCACGATGTTTGAGACATCCTGTGGAGGCTCTATAAAGACTTCGCCGAAGGTCGACAGCAGATGCAGCTCCACGAATGCACGTGTGAAACCGCCTACTCGGTGTTTTGTTCTCACGACGTTGTGCTAACACCGAAATAAAATAAATGACAGTTTCTTAGCTTGGAAACAAAATACACGAAATAATTCACCTAGATCCTCACTCTGTTCATACTCAGAGGTGACCGAGTCCTCAGTGTGGTCACTTGGGTTCCAGGAGCAGGCAAGGTGGTTGGGTCGTTGGTGTCGGGAGGAGGGAGGCTTACTAGTTCGACTTTTTGCCGGAATGGCTTGTCTGGAGCGATTGTTGTGGGGTTCAGAGAAAGTCGACGCGAAATCAACATCGTCGGAGGTCTTTTGTCTCGCTGCATCGTCGGAGCCAGTCTGGACAGAATAAAACAAATCTCGCATCCAATTGACTGAAAGAAGCTTATTTCAAGTGGTCCAAACAGAATGTCAAAAAACCTTAAATAAGTCGACTTGTAACCATTAAGGCAGGCAGCTGATAGCAGCTGAGTCAATGTCCATAGTTGTGTGACATCATTTCCGATACAAAGAAGGGCGTAACTGCCCCAGGGGAAAGAGATGAGGCTTATTTAAGTAGTCACAATGAATAATTTATGAGTATAATTCTGATACACTTGCTT